CTGACCACAAATTACATTCAAACAATCATATTCAAGTGTTAGATTCGGTCACCAGTTCTCAGAAAGTTGATATGTTGACTAATATTTGGTTTTTCAAAAAACTATGGATCCCTATACTGTTTCGAGAAAATGTATTGGATGATGCGGGTGTTCCCTTTGGTTTCTATTTCACTTATGTTCTCAAATATCATGCAAATATACCTTCTTACATCCTACCTACTCATGATGAAGAATCTTGGGGTGACAGGAATTCTATACAACAGAGTACATGTGAAGATCTACAATCAAAACTGGATAATAATGCTATTTGGAACAATCAAATCGAACATGGTTATCCTCTGGTGTTTAAAGAATCATTGTTAAAGAATACAGAATTGAACAGAATATTGTTTGTTATTGATGGTTATTATCAGGAAAAAATGTTTAGACCATTATTTTGCAGATTATCATTGATCAATGATAATTTGATAAATGTGGTGGTGACTGGTAATTCACGAGGAATGTCTGCCTCGAAACTAAGATCCTCTCTTGTGGAAAATCAATATTCAGAATGTAAAAATATAGAAATCTATGATTTAGACATTAAAACAGATTCCCGAAACAGAATTTCTAGAAATGATGATATTGAATTAAAAATCAAAGTTTTTCATGGTGTTGGTCGTATAATACAGTTCCTAAAACCAGAAGTTATATTCTATTCTAAAATTGCAAAAGATGAAGTAATCCAAGGAATAACAATTGCTGCAAATGAAATAAAAAACATTACCAAAATACAATTGCCTTTGGACGAAGTACATTATGCGATAGATATTATTGCTGACTTGCCATTTAAAGCATTAAAAAGTAATTAAACATATATATATATAAAAGTTCATAATTCTATTTTATTTTTATGTTAAAACAACAACAATAATAATATCATCATCAATTATTTTCAATGATAATTTGATAAATGTGGTGGTGACTGGTAATTCACGAGGAATGTCTGCCTCGAAACTAAGATCCTCTCTTGTGGAAAATCAATATTCAGAATGTAAAAATATAGAAATCTATGATTTAGACATTAAAACAGATTCCCGAAACAGAATTTCTAGAAATGATGATATTGAATTAAAAATCAAAGTTTTTCATGGTGTTGGTCGTATAATACAGTTCCTAAAACCAGAAGTTATATTCTATTCTAAAATTGCAAAAGATGAAGTAATCCAAGGAATAACAATTGCTGCAAATGAAATAAAAAACATTACCAAAATACAATTGCCTTTGGACGAAGTACATTATGCGATAGATATTATTGCTGACTTGCCATTTAAAGCATTAAAAAGTAATTAAACATATATATATATAAAAGTTCATAATTCTATTTTATTTTTATGTTAAAACAACAACAATAATTGTGAGTATGTGTGTCCATTCAACATTGATATATTTACTTTTCCATAAATCTCTTCAAGCCAACTGTCTGGATCTATATGTGAGTGTAAGTTAATATGAATGTATCAGTAAACATATTAATTAAAAAAGTGTTATTTATACTCATTAATAAACCTTTATGAATTTGTAGTTTTTGCAATGTTTGAATTTCATAATCTATATATTTAGTGGTTGTAAGTATAAATGTGAAATAAATGGATAGTAGTGACAGTGTAATGGCGATTAATGATATTAGTTTATGTACGTGAGTTAAACGACACGTTAAATTTTCGCGTTTTTTAAAGGTTTGATGATAATAAGGTAAACGACCGTGGGGTGGTAACATTTTTAAAAAAAAATTTTTTTTTAAAAAAATTATTAAAACAATTAATATAATAAACATGTATGACGCGCGTTCAACAAAAAAAAAAGTCGATCAATAATGTTTGTATTATTTTCACCATGCCTATCACATTCTCGGACTCTTCATAGAGTAACTATGACCTAGTAAATTATTAATAAAGGAAAACCATTAACAAATTTACATTCATTCATTCTACAATATTAAATAACTTGCTTCTTAGGAGGAAACCTTCTTTATGATAATAAAAATGATAACAATTAATGAAAGTGGTAATGAATCTAGATTTTAATTGCAGTTATTCTGTGAAAGTCTTTCAAGACAGTACGAATAATTATAAGCCATTCTGTTTACTTTGGAAATACATTTAATAAAATAGAACCAACTAAACTCCAATTATAATAAAACCTTTAATAAAAAGTGTATAACGTGAAAAAATTTGAAGATCGACATAGTAATCGGGACCAGAGTTGTACTATTACCCTGAAATGTTGGCTTAAATTTCGTGAGTTTCTGTTTATGAGTATATCCTCATTCAATACAGCGAGTGACTTGGTATTATGTGTAGAAAATTTAATAAAATTAACAGGAAAAGTAATAGAAGCTATTTATTTGTTATCTATTGTTTTTTATTATTTATCAATAACGGCCGTGTATATAACACCAGCAGATTGTTTAATCATAGTCCCTTTTTTTAAAAAAATAGAAATGTTGTCTAAACACCTAATGCGGACATTTTCCTAAAGGCTTATCCTATCTTACCTGGACCGTGGTGGAATAGGTTAACCCTAGGCTGGACAAATTCCGACGGAAAATTCGCTAAAATCATCCGGGTAAAATATCCACCCGGCAAGGTAAAATAGGATAAGCCTATTTTGTACAACTTCCCCTAAAATAAAATGCTAACCAATTTGATGGTTGGATGACAATTCTTTATCACCAGATCGTTTAATCATAGATCCGTTTTTTTTTTTTTTGGATTAATGCAATGTTGCATACATGCATACCCTTTAATGACAGTATATTGACGGTTGTAAGTGTAAATTTGTTTTTGAAAATATAAATAATTAATAATTAATACAAATAATTAATAACAATAATATTAACGACTAGAATAATTTTTTTTTCTTTTGATGGTCACATAACCAATTAATCATGGGTTCGTTTTTGTTTGAACAAAAAAAAAAAAAATAATTAATACAATTAATAGTTATTGGATTTATGTCTCACTATATATTAATTCATCTCTAGGAATTATTTAGTGTGAGGAATACATTGATTGATAACATGAATGTCAGTCGGTTCGTTCACTATAATGTAAGCGTGCAGATACAAAACCCTCAAAGGACAGATTACCTCAGGTTGTTGAAAACATCAAGAAATGTTGACAAATTGTAGTAGATCGCAACTTTTACTTTTTATGCTTTACCTTCAGGTGAATATCGTGGTAGGTATGATTTATTGATTGACTTATGGCAAACCTGGCTTACAACTAATTCTTTCGCTTCAGGAATATGGATGAATCCATCGATTTCTTGGTGAAAATTAAACGGACGCGTACAAACTTTCAATTCACATGAATTAATATTTATTTAAATACATAAATCATGATTTATTTCATGTTTGTATAATTGATTCAAGGAACAAAACATTGCGTTCCCATGGTCTCGTAGGACAATGGGGACGCGAAATTAATTAGTTGGATGCCAACACGGTAACCGCCATCGATTATTTTGAATTTCGAACAAGGGATAAACTACCGACCTCACTCATTTTTTCTGGAGAAAACTCAACCCAAAGTCGGGTTTTGAAGCGATAATCAACTGAAGTTGGTGGAGAGTAAAAAGAATGTGTAAACTAATTTAATAAAAAAACTAATGTAATAATATGAAACTTATAAAAAACTAAAATTAAAATTTAAATAAAAACTAGATTGACTAAAAATCAAAAGAAAAAAAAAATAAAGAAACTAAAATTGACTAAAAAATAAATAAAAGGAAAATAAAAAAGAAGGTAAACTAAACAAATATAATAAAAGTGAGTCTGAATTACCCACGAAGCCTTCTAAAAACCATCATAGAAGAAGATTCGAATAACGGCAACTTAAGCCAGCAGTCGGCCGATATTTGTATCCAACACCAGCTTAAGGCACTGGCTTTGGAATGTATCAATAGTTAACTTTTGTTGCTGTTGTCATCATCGCCGTCGTAGGTAGTTGTTGTAGCTTGATAATAAAAAAGTTTGTTGTTGTCGTTTTTGAAGAAAGAGAATTTTTTTAATGTCTTTTATAACAATTGATTATCTAATAGCGGCTGATTATTAATTCAAGCTAATATTTTAATAAATGAATGAAACATGATTATCGATATTTGAGATTTTGCAAGATTTAATTCATTCTTATCACCAAAAAAAAAAAATACAAATTTCTTTGAAAGATTTAACTTTCTCTAATGTAATAGCATCAGATGTAATAATGGCACATTAAAAGCAGTAGTAGCAGTAGAACGAGAATGAAATGACAGTGTTAGTGGTAGTGGTAATGTAGGAATAAACTTTTGTGTATATATATATTTACACAATTTTTTTGTTCGCTGTGATCAACGTTACACATTCCATATAAATCTGATTTTCTCTAAAATTTTCTAATTTTGACAAAAACCCAAGTTTTATTATTAATTTTGATAATTCAGGATGATCAAAAAATTTCTTCACCTCTTCCGTATTCTTATTTATAATAATTATCAGATCTCCTCTTTTATTTTCTTGTACTTGTCCCAATTTTTAAATTGTAAGTATTGGTTGGGATTGTCGGTGAACTTTGCTTGTGTTTACGTCCATAAATCTTTTTTTTTTGTTTGTCTGGTGAAAAGGACACACTACTTCCATTATACATAAGTCATGATTTTTATCTCTTATAATTACGTTAACTTGATGTCTATGTAGTGATTTTTTTTTATTTTTTATTTTTCAAAGATTTATTTTTACGCTCTTTTGAGTCCATTGATGTGATATCAATGCTTATTATTTAAAAAATAAAATTTTTAGAATTTTGTTTTTCAACAATATGATCAATAATAATAATCCTTATACTTACGGATATGAAAAAATATACTTTATTGTTTTTTGAGGGCATATTTGACGTATATATAAACAAAGTGATTACAAATTGCGATTTTTATTTATTTTGAATACGAATGATTTTTTTTCGACATATAAAATTTATAGTACTCTGATACTAACATTATAAATTGTGTTAGATCAACATATTTCTTCTTTTTTTAACTGTTTGATCACATAAATTTTATTAATAAAATTGAATAATTTGTAAAATTAAAAAAATTAAAAATTAAACTTTTATTACCATGTTCTTGCTCGGCATTTTTTTTTTGATATCAAACAATTCACATCTATTTGAATTATATAAAGCAATTGTAAAGAAGAAACCAGAAACAACACATTGTGAATTAAATAAGTTAGATGACGATAAAATACATCAGACAAATCTGGTCTTTTTTTTGTGCCTTTAACAGTACGGTTTAGCTGAATTTCATATTCTTTAAATGGTTTATTGAATACATCAAATAAACTGGAAAATAAAAAGAAGAATTAGAAAATGCTGTTAATAAATCATTAAGACAATAATTTAGGTCCAACGATATTTATGTCCACAGAAAATTAATATATACTAACATTCAAATTCACTTGCAGGCATTGTGATCTAAACTCAAAAGAAAGGAACCTGGAGTTTTTATTTAACAAATAAAGAAATAGTTACATTAAAAAATAAGGTTCTGGTTTTGGATATCATATTCAAAAATTAAGGCGTTGCTAAAGGTGTCAGGAAAGGGTTTATTTGTTATTAATTTCTGTTACCATGTGATCCCTACCCGTGATCCGAATGATGTGTCGATCGTTTTATGAATACCTTCAATTATCAATTTTCTGTTTTTAATTTCGAAAATCATGAGCACCGAAGAAATCTCTTTAGAAGACTTATCAGATTCAGAGATCGTAGATGAGGATGTAATACCGCAGCAACGCATAATAATTAATAATAAAGTATGTTTTAAAAAATTGTTGGTTACGTATTTTTTTGATAATTAAAATAAATAATTCACATGCAAAATTTTATCTACATAAATTTCTCCGTTTAAGTCCCCCCTCCGGAATGTAATTATATTTTTATTAAAATTATCTATTTACACATGGGTATAAAGTGACGGATATTTATTAAAATTGACATTCTTGAGAAACTGAGCTACTAATTGATATAATTTTGATATATAATATTTTGAGAAAATTCAAAATATTTGAGAAGAAAAATCACGGTTTTGATTGCATCAGATAAAGTGTGAAATTTTGTTCTACAAAATTTTTGTGTAATTATTATTATCCTCCTTTTTTAAGCGAAATATAAAACAATCGATCAGTCACGAACTTTCTATTTTGGGTAAGTCAATCAAAGTCAATCAGATGACTAACTCCGTTGAATGAATGAATGATTATTTCTTAGAAAAACTTCCAAATCAATTAACTGATTTGTTATTTTGTAAGAAACATTACGCGTACAAAATAAATAGTTATTCATCGGTTTTATGAAATAATAATATTTATTCCGAAAAAAACAGGATTATAAACCAATTAATTCACTTGCGCCTTTAATTTTCGTGACTAATAATCACTATTCAAAAATTGATATAAAAATCCACCTAGAGTCCTTTGAAGAATTAATTAACTTTATAAAGTATATACTGTTTTCATTATTTCTTGTTGTTGTCATCGACATTAGCATTTTCATTTATAATTTTCCTTTTCTTGTCCCTGGATTTTCTTGAAGTGATGATAATAATCTTCATCGGCAGTACGATGATAATATTGACAACTTCTTTGTTAAAGATTCCATCGTGCACAACTCAATTTTATTATGAACATTATTTGATTAATGGAACAATATCTATCATCCAATATTTTTTTTAATTCAATTGAATGTTTGTTGTTCCATTTTGAAATAAATAATAACTTGTTTTTCTTCATCGTCGTCTAAAGTTTCCTATCCACCATTGAATGGACTGCGCATATTCAAGGATGAGAGTGTCCCACCTACAAATCGAAAAAAATCTACCCACCCGCCTATCACTAAATTATTTTTTTAATGTGGATACAAGCATTTATTTTTCAATGTCTTTGAATTTCGGTAGTTTGACAAATCATATTCTGTTGAAATTAAATAATTATGTAATTTATTAATTAGTTCATTGATGTTTAATTTGTTACATGCTTTAAGGAGCAGATTATCTATATTAGTAACTCCATTGTAAATATTGTAAATATATATATTTTAAAAATAAAAGTCTATTTTTAAAAATATAATCACCAATCAGCTAATTATAATTATAAAATTAATCTTACGTCAAAAATATATTTTGGGTAATGTTTTCTCAATAAATATACTTTTAATGGGCTTTAAAATTTTAATTTCATTTTTACAAAATTTTATAGACACATTTTAATAA